GAGTCATATTTGCACGGCGCTCTTGCTGATTTATTCTTTAATAAGATGCAGCTGAGACTGTTCTGTATGTTACCACACTTCAGTGTTCATGGTTATCGATCTCCTGTACTCTGCAGCACTTTTCTTACCTAATAATCACCCATCCTCACAACATAATTGCTTTCATAAGACTTGCACACACTCTTTTTCAACGTGTCTCCGGAAGAACAATCGATACGTTGATAAGAGAGAAGCTGTTACTCAGTATGAGCATGCACACACCTCGCTGTACCTCTTTGCATTCAGCATGCACCAGCAGCAGCAGCAGCAGAGTTGAATTTGCTGCACACATCCTGATGTTCCTCCTCAGACCCCACTGGCCCCTGTTCTGGTCATGCTTCATGAACCCTGGCTGATGTTGAGGTGGATCTCAGGGATGTGGGTGCTGGGCGGACAGGGAGCACGGCCTGTTTGCAGAGAGGATGAAGAAATCCGTCATTATCCTCTGAGAGCCATTCCTCTCACGCCGCCCCAGACCTGACTGTTAATTGCCCCGAGGATTCGTCCAAACAGACGCTGAGAGGAAACATCAGCGGCTGAGCTGAGAATCGAGCTGTTTTTCCTGAGGGTTTGAGAACATTATCTTTTCTTTATGATGCAATTATAAGCACACATAATTTCCCACTAGGTGTTGTTACTGTAGAGAAATGTTCACTGTGAGAAAGTCATTGTTTTCTTGCCTGCGACATCCAGTTGTAGCCTGCAGTATAAGAAATACAGTCACATGTTATAATGAAGAGACAGTTTGTAACCGAACAGAAACCTCAGGGGCTGAAAAATAAAGGCAATGCAAAAGTGGAAAAATGAAGCATAGCGTTAGTTCTGACAGGTCACGACGTCAAGCGCTGATCCGCAGCCAATGGCCAGTCGCCACCTCAACCAGACAATGTTCATTGCATCTCTACCCCCGTTGTTTCTGCCCTCATGATGCCTTGTGAAAGGCGGGAAGGTGCTGTTCCTGCCGCTGGCCTTTCATGCATGCTTGCATGAAGAAAAAGAGGCCCCAAACAGAACCTTGCGTGCGCTTCCTATTGCCTTTTCATGAAGGGCAGGAAGGGGCTCTTCATGCTTCTAGCTTCACACAAGCACTTGGAAGGGCAGGGACCCAGAACAGAACCACGCCGTCAAATTTTACTTTGCACATAAAGCTAAATTTTGACAAAATTATCCTGACTGAATTGACTTTTAGGTTTCGTTCACACCAAAAGGTCAGTTTTCTGATACGAACCAAAGCAAGGATGATACATTGTTGCAGTTTTTCAACTGGTCCGGTTTGTGTTCACAAAGGCCAAATTCAAACGGTCCAGAAATTGTCGTCGCAGGAGACACTCTGCAATCAGACGGTCAGATCACAAAAGACGACAGGCAATAATTTGTAACTCTACGTTTGTCCCCTGCCAGACATTGGCCACACTCCGGATCCAGTGGAAATTGGGGGCAAAACGGCATGCTTCCTGTGATTGGTGTGGATGGGGTTCACATGAGAAGTAAACCATCGTAGAGTTCACTTGATAGCAGTCTGAGACCACCCCTACCAGGTGGACCCAAGAGCGGTTGAGTGGTCCACACCAGAGTTCGAGGTCAGCGTTCACACCAACCAAAACGAACCGCACCAAGGAGGTAAATGCTCCAGGGTTTAGTTCAACTGGACTAGACAAGGCTGGTGTGAACGCGACCTTATTGGACATGTTCGTATTTTTCTTGAGGATAAGAAAATTCTCAGATTGCAGAATCAGAAATTCCTCATAAGTCTGACTTGGGTATAAAAATATTTCATGAAGCTGTTGTTGATGTTTTTGTTCCTGCTTCTTTGTTCCTGTAATAATCACTGTCTGGAAAACATGATGTTAACAGCATCGGTACAAACGCCTGCTCCTTGTACTTCCATGAAGGATGTGTAAAATCTACACCGCCACGTCAAGTTTTCCTGCTGATCAAGCAGAAAAGTTGGTTTTTAATTCTTTGTTTTACGTGTAGTGCTAACTTTATAATCATTTTTTTATTGGTGTATCAGTATTTCAGCAGTGCACAGTAAAAAAAAAAGGGTTATTTAAGGGCTGGTGCTGCAAAATGAGTCAGGCCCAGAGCTGAGCACAAAGAAACTTAATGGAGTAGAGCAGCTCAGATCAGGAAAAAGAAAGATGGCTGTGCAGCAAATCCATCTGCAGGAGGGGAAGGAGCAGCGAGTCAAACCAGGTCAGAGGATGAGGAGGCAACGTTTAGAGAGGAGGAAGTCTGCCTGCAGGGGGATTGGCTGCAGATATCTGAGACGGTCTAAGATTAAGGTTTCTATTTTTAATGTAAACAAATAAAACTTGTTTAAAAAATCAAACATGCACTTTCTTGATCCTATATATCATTTTTATTCCCTCTTGATCAAATATGATAACATAGAAAATTGATAGCAAGGACCTGACACAATTATTGGATGTTTTAATTTCACTTTTTTTATTTGTATATACTGTATCACTGCAGCCTCACTAATTCTGCGTATTTTTACACTTAGGCGCCTTGAAATGTCACCCTCCCGATTACAGATAACTAAAGTTTCTTCCTGTTCCAGCTTCCCAATCTGTAAATTTGAACTAATGTTAACATGTTGCACTCTAATGACCGGGACAATTTTACATCAGCAGAGAGGAAATAAAGAATTATGTCTGGTAATGAAATAGCAGAGAAACGACAAAGCCCGCCATGTGACTGCAGGGATATTTGCTTCCAAATAGGATCCCAAATAAGAGTTCTAGCAGGGTGTCATCTTGATTTATGGATGTCAAACACACGCTAATAAGCTGCAGCTTTGGTGAGTTCACGTTGCCAAGATCCCATCTTCCATATCTGTGTCTTTCAGCAGGGGATTTCAGCTCAATGGCTTTAATAACATGCATGGATGCGTTGACTTTTTTTTTTAGATAGAAATTTGTTGCAGTGATTTTTTCCCTCCTCCTCATTCGGCTATTAGAAAGCAATCAATGGACAATTGCCTTTTTTTAATGCGTTTCTCTCCAGGATCTTGGTGAAAGTCAGACACACTTCAAGGTATCTGGCTTAACTTCCTCCTCGGCTGCCTCTTCATTCCTGCTCAGGAGTGGGTACAAAAATACAGATAATGTCCGCTGAGTAATGATTTCCCATTTTCTCCCCACTTGTACCCCGTTATTAGTTAGATCAGTATGGCAGGGAAAATTAATTTTCTTTTCACTTAGAGGGGACATTAGCATGATTAATTTCAGCATGGAGTGGAGGAAACTGGAGGATAGCTTCAATATGAGGAGTGAAATCAATTTACTGTGACGTGAAAAGAGTGGGAGAATGTGGGGCATAAACAAGTATGAAATGACCCTCTCTGTCTTCTCCTCTAATAAGAAGAGAGCATCATTTGGCATGGGCCTTTGTGCCGGGACTGTGACCCTCTTCGGCCTTCTCTGGGATGAAAGGAACTCGAAAATGAATTTCTTTCTCTATCTAATGTCAATTATTCCAATATCACACACACTCCACTTGTGTGGCCGGAAAGTGGAAAATCAATCACGACCGAGGACTGAAAGAAGTTCAATTCAGTGCAGTGTTAGGATATACTTTGCATGTGCTGACAGAAAGAGGCTGCTTGTTTTAATGACTCACCTGCTGCTGGCCTCTCGTGAACTTGTGAAAACCACCTGGTTTGCTGACACACTTACACAGCCTAAAGTTATACACTTGTTTTTCTTCTATAGTCTGACAGTGTCTCGTTCTCTCCCATCCCCAGAGTGCAAGCTAGCGTCACTGTGTCAAGAGATATATACAATCTGAAAGTGTGCAAAAATACGATAGTGGCAGGTACATTGGACATGATCAGTTGATCAGAGCACTGCAGGTGCAAGGAGAGGTGTTCGTTTTCTGTTCACAAAAAGTGCAAAAATGAATAAGGCCATCTGATGACAGAGTGGTTAAAGGGAAATTCCGGCGTAAAATTTAAATTAATTAATATACTGTAACAACGAGTTCGACACCCCCTCGAGAGATGAATGTTGCCGAACGCTTGCTTCTCTAGTTATACCAACTTTAGTAACGACCGCTCATAGGGTCCCAGCCACAGTACTAGCCACCAAACATCTTTTTGACTTTGCCAAATTTCTTTAGCAAAGGGACGAAATCCATCACTGACTGCAGTGGGGTGACGCAGCTCAAGGAAGAAACATTTATGATAATTACTTTATCATTTCCTTGAGGTAAAAATCCCCATATCAATCATTTTTCACTGCAGACGCGGTAGTTCTTCTGCCTTAGTGTCTCGGTCTGATTGCATTTCCATGAAGAAATGATCACAAATGTTCTTCCTTGAGCTGCGTCACCCCGCTGTAGTCGGTGATGGACTCGTCTGAGGTCTCACTACAAACAAGCGGCTGCTGGAAGAGGGTGGCTAAGTTCTGTTTAGTCTCTTTGCTAAAGAAATCAGGCAAAGCTAAAAAGATGTTTGGTGGCTAGTACTATGGCTGGAACCCTATATGTACTGTTGATGAAGTTCGGTGCTGGTCTGAGCATTATTTGTGGCTATAGAGTGGCGTTTTTGGTTGAATGCATAGCTCTCTGTATTGCTATCTTGCGGTCATAACTAGAGTTGGTATAACTAGAGAAGCAAGCGGTCAGTAACATTTATCTCTCGAGGGGTTGTCTAACTTGGTGTTAGAGTGTATTAGACCCTAAATTAATTTTTATGCCGGAATATCCCTTTTGAGGGGTCTCTTAAAATTGGCTCAATTAGCTTATTAGCTTGCATGTTGCTGCCTCTGACAGTTTCCCATTACAGGAGCCAAGCTGTCCAGCATCCCTTGAAGCTAATACGATAAATTGATGACATGTTACTTTTATATCAAAAATGTGGAAATATCCCTTTAAAATTCAATTTCCAGGAAATGTTCCAGTTGAATCCCCAAACTGTTGCCCTGATGAAGATAAATGAAGAGTTTTGACCTTCAGGGTCAAGTCTGAGTCCAGAGACCGGACATCCGACTGGACGGGACATCAAGGTTGGTTTGAGAGATTGCTCTGAGTCTGGTGGCTTCATCCCTCACACTCGGTCCGAGGAGCCTGAAGGCCACGGAGGAGTCTCTGTCCTTGGTCATCAGCTGTTACAGTCCGATTCTAAAAGTCAGAGTCCCTGACAGATCAAGATGGATGTCTGGAGTCTTTGTCTCATCTTGGCATGCTGAGGATCCCTACCGCAAGTCCAATGAAGACAGATGATCATCGGTGCAGGCTGATTTGGGGACACTTGGAGCTATTCTTCAAGTGGATGGAGGCTGGAGGGGCGCTGGGTGGACAGGCTGATGTCCTTGGCCGCTGGGGCGACTCGTCTTCAGGGATGAGAGGAAGGAATGAGCCCGTGTGCCACAGTTTTTCATCAGCTGCTCTGAGCCGGGGCACTGATGTATGACCGGAGCTTTCCTCCAACATCGGTGGATCGATAGTGAGAGAGCTGGCAGAGCCGGGGAGGGATCTCATGAACGACAAGCTGCTCACACGGAGAGTGATGGTGGCTCTTCCTCTCAGGACCTCAGACATCAGGGAGAAAATGAGGCTGTGATTACATATGGAGGACTGTGGAGCAGCCTCTGCGACTCATCACTCCTCGGTGAGCTGAGCTACTTTCTGCGGCGTGTGAAAACACAAGAGTGATGTCTCAAACTTTATGAGGGCTTCTTTGTTGTTTTCAGCTGTTTTTTTCCTGAAGAAGTTTAGCTTTTTAATGTTGTTTTCAACTCAAACCACAGGATAGAGTCTGGAAAACAGGAAGGACTTAATGCAAAGAAGAAAAGTAAGCTGAAGGCGGAGTCAGAAGTGGAGAGAAGGCAAACAAAGCTGCAGAAACAATATAAGTGTCAGTGTGGTGTTAATCTCTCTGAACAAATACATGAATATAAATGCAGATTCTCAGCAAGGAGCAAGATTGATGGTACCAGAACAACTTTAGATTAAAGGGATATTCTGGCATAAAATAAATTTAAGGTCAAACACACCGTAATACTGAGTTAGACAACCCCTCGAGAGATGAATGTTGCTGACCACTTGCTTCTCTAGTTATACCAACTTTAGTGACAACCGCACGATAGCAATACACAGTCTGAGGAGCCATAAACAAACCTCAAACAAAACGCCACTCTATAGCCACAAATAATGCTCAGAACAGCACCTAACTTTATCAACAGGACATATAGGGTCCCAGTTACAGCACTAGCCACCAAACATCTTTTTAACTTTGCCTAATTTCTTTAGCAAAGAGACCAAACACAACTCACCTATTGTCTTCCAGCAGCTGCTTGTTTGTAGCGAGACCTCGACCAATCCATTACGGACTGAAGTAATGATCATAAATGTTCTTCCTTGAGCTGCTTCACCCCGCTGTAGTCCGTAATGGACTGGCACAAGGTCTCGCTACAAACAAGCGGCTGCTGGAGGAGAGTAGGTGAGTTGTGTTTAGTCTCTTTGCTAAAGAAATTAGGCAAAGTTAAAGAGATTATTGCTGGCTAGTGCTGTAACTGGGAACCTAGATGTACTGTTGATGAAGTTAGGTGCTGTTCTGAGCATTATTTGTGGCTATAGAGTGGCGTTTGTTGAGGTTTGTATGTGGCGCCTCAGACCACAATGTATTGCTAAAGTTGGTAAAACTAGAGAAGCAAGCGGTCGGCAACATTTATCTCTTGAGGGGTTGTCTAACTCTGTGTTACAGTGTTTTTGACCCTAACTTTATTTTATGCTGGAATATCCCTTTAACTTTCGCAGCATTTACTTATAGAATCCATGTATCTTAAAAGTCTTTGAAACACTTTCCAGCAAAAAAAAAACACGCTCACTGCTCACCCTAAAGATCAGGAGCCGCTCAGGCACTTTGTGATTAATATTAAAAAGTCCCCGAGCTGCAGAATCCTTCAAACAGATTCAACTTGAGTTAATTATACGAGGAGATATTTGAGGAGACATCTCAACTATAAAACTTCTGATTAATTAAATGGACTTACATTTCCCCCTGTATCTGTCATCAGACAGTAACTCCAGGATGACCAATAGGAGCAGAGGGACAGCGCTGAGTGGGTCATCATGTCTGACTGCTCACTCACTGCAGGATGGTGAACTGCTCACCCCGCAGAGCTCTCCTGAACCCTGACAGAGAGGAAACAGAGCCACTCTGAGGACCAGCCAGCCGTTTAAACTTGCTGACTTGTATCATTTTTACTGGAAGGTGGTGAAAGGCCTTAATAAATCAGATGGATTAAAAGAAACATATCTGTCATGTTCATTTAATAGCATATTGGACACTGTAAGTGTTCGGCGAGGGTGTCATAACATGGATTGATAGAGCTGGAACCCATTCAGCGGGATTGATGAGGTTTCATTTGATTTCATTACTCCAGATCAGCGTTCAAAGGGCCAAACGATGTGCGAGCACAAGTCACAAGTCATCTTTCAAGTAGGCTGACTTAATGCCCGCTCATCCCCTCTCTGTGGTGTGTGAGCGTGACGGACAATTAACTCGACAGATTCTAAGAACAGAGGAGGATTTCTCTGCGACGCAGCGCAGAGCTCGAGTGTAACTCTGCAAAACCCACAAAGAGGCCCCTCCATGTTGGTTACACACTTAAACAACATAGCAATCAAATCTAAATCTGCACATTGGCTAAAGCTACAGTGAACCACCAAGTCCTACTCCGCACACTTTCCCAGCTTGGTTTTTTTAGATCTGGTTCAGAGGGTGAGTAGGGGAGGATCATGGAGAGGAGGAGTGTCCGATCCACATTCCCTACAAACGTTCGTCGAGCACAGGGCGCTGGAGAATGAAGAATAATGGCACAGATTAAGCTTTTTTGCCGATAAATCAATAAATATCAGTCAAGCTCTCAGCTTTTGTTTCATAATAAATACATTAATATCAATAAGGTGCAGTCGCCAGCGAAAACAAAGCAGAGGTGGATAAATTTGTCTTCAGTACCAGAATCCTCAACCTGACCAGATGTTATCACTATTAGACCAAACTGACCGCTATTAAAAATAAATGTATAAATATATAAATATATATAAACACACTTTAAACTGTACTTGACATTATATGGTGCTGTTCTTTGGCTTGGTTGTATTGATATGTGTTTGTATATGGTATACATATATATAGTATATGTACATATGTATTGCATTTGTGTAAGTATTGGCACAACGCAAAAACAATACAAAAAAACAATGTAATATGGTTGGTCCCAGGGGAAGAGGAAGGGGGGTGTTTGTTTGTTAGTTTTGACTTTTCTTTTATAATTATTTTTAGTTATATAATGTACTTAATGTATTAATCGCATGCTTGTTAATAGAACCAGAAGTGCTGTGCTACTTCACAAGGTTTAATGCCACTCATCATATAATAATGAAATCACACTGACAGAATATGTCATCAATGCAAAGCAGTACGAACGACACAGCTCCTAGTAAAGGCTCTTGTAATATCACGCATTGACCACTGCAACGCCTTACTGGCAGGTTTCCCTAGCATGCACATTCGGCCTCTGTGAATGATCCAGAACATGGTAGCCTGTCTTGTTTAACCAACAGGAAACAGCATATCACTCCACTGTTCATTCCTCTCAACTGGCTTCCTTTTGCAGCTTAAACCAAATACTAAAACTTCTTAGTGTTTACGAAACAGCAACAAAAACATCTCCTGCTTACCTGCAGTCGCTCATTCAGATCTGCTCTCCATCTGGTGCTCCAGGAAGAACAGGGCCACAAGTAACTGGCTAGACTGCTCCCCTCTGTCGCCTCCTGGTGGTGGGATGACTCTCAAAACTCTATTCACTCCTCTTTCTACCTTCTAAAAAAAGCTTGTGCTTAGGTACAGCTATTCTCCTCTGTCGCCCCCTGGAGGTGGATTTAATACAATTAGTCCCTTTCTACTTCTGCGACACTTATTGACCCATATCTTTGTGCAGCGCTTGGTAATTTGGTGCCAAAAATGATGACGATTATGATAACATTGGCATTGATGATATTGTAGCTGTATGCAGATAGTGATATGCTGTTTAGTTGATATGTTCCTTGTGTTGTAGTCAGCTACATAATTGCAAAGTTTCTCCTAAGCAGCAAATGTAGCATAAACAGGGTGATAGTGGACAGTGTCTGCATAGTAAATACATGCATTTCCTACCACCATATTTACCAGTCACCGTTCACTGCAGAGCTAAGTATGTAATTCATCTGATAATCACCTTCAGGGGGGAATTAAGGGCAGAAATTAATTACAGGCTTGAGTTGCTTCGGTAAAGCTTGCCGTCATATTTGGTGCATCAGGTTCCACATCAGCAGGCCCTGTCACCTGCCTCTCAGAGTCACTGACGTCCGACAAAATAAGAAAGAAATACGACTCAGGAAATTGGTAAAGGGGGCGATAGAGCGTGACAATCAGGATCCATTTCCCTTCGCTGTGGCCTTGTATACCGAGCAGCCACGCCGCCGCTGCCCGCTGAGCTCAGTCATGACCTCATGGAAAATGACAACAGAAACCTTGTGTGGTTCATCGCTCCGCTTTAACAACAAGGAAATTTTGCTGATTTATATTTTTGCCATTTGAAGACAGAGATTTCAAAGAAGTATTAAACGGATTCATTCACATGATTGGATATGCGGTTTCATGGCTCAGTCTGCTCTAGATAAAACACGCCAATAACTGATGGTCATGTTACTCTCAGGGGCAAATTTTGGAAAGGAGAACTAATTTTAGCATGTCCTTAAATAATTACATCTAGATTAGAGCTTTTTTGTTTGTTTTTATTCTGTATCACAGTCTGACTGACGTGGGAAACCTGTGATTCTTCCTTTTTGGGCAGAGGTTTGGAAATCACATGTGAAACACCCTTTTGTATGCAAACACACTTTTCCTCTATGCATTGAAAGGACACAAACAGTGACACAAAACGCTGATCATTAACAGTCCTGCTATCCAATTACAGAGATCTTTAAGAGCTGGATCCATAGGTCTTCTCCCCTGCCCTTTAATTAATCCGGCCCGCTGTAGGCTACACTCAATTAGCATCTGCAGTTCACTCACAGTCATTGATTCTCATTTTCTGGATAATCCATTCTTTATTTCTCCACAGTAGTTCATGCTTTAATAACTGTACAGCAGAAGAAAGAAAGACAGAGAGAGGAGAAGCTGTTGGTGGGTGGATGCTGAGCGTCAGATATGAAGACTTCCAGCTGAGTTTTGTTCTATATTTCTCTGTGTTGAGGAGTTTCTGAATATTGGGATGAATTTTTAGATACACCATCTAAACTATGATTAAAGATATCAGTGTTTACTTGAACGCTGCCAAACATTTACAAAAGAAACATATCAGTCTAGATAGGAGAAATACAAATGTATTACAAGTGTCACTTGTTGATGCACTTTTCCCATAATCCTTCAGCGACAGTACAGCAGGATGTCCTTCTCCATCCGGCTGTAAACCTCGAGGGCTCGTCAAGGACGCGGCGGCTCTTCTCGGCCTTGTTATGTCGCAGTCAGAAAATGGCCGTGCGGTCCCCCG